TGGCTAATCTACCGCCGGCTCGCGGACTTTACTCCGACGCGCGGACGAGAGTCGAGCGTAGCGGCTCCCTCTGTTCCTACCCCTGAGGTCTGAAAGAGGGAGCGCTTCCGGAAGTATTCGCTCCCCTTCGTCGACATATAGTTTGTGAACGACCGACTGCCATTGTAAAGGTGAAATAAGAATCGAGGAGAGGTGGAGATAACCGCGAGATTCCTATCTCTTATCGAGGAAGAGAGTGGCAGCATCTTTCCCCGAGATAGCTGCTCTCTTTCTCCGTTTTTAAATACAAGGCAACGATAAGTAGTCCAGGACTGTATGTCGATGCTCCCTCGCACTTTTTTCTTATATTTTTTTTTTCGTGTTTGAGGATCTTTGTATTTCTGCTTGAAGCCCAGGGGTTTACTTTTGGGATTACAGTTTCGGAGGCTTCGGGACTCGGGGTGATTCCACTAGGTTTCGAGATATCGCGGCCTAAGGCGTTCGGGCAACACGGATAACGGTATTACTCATCCTCGTGGCGGGGCATCGCACGAGGAGAGCTCTCGGATGAGAACCACCGCGAAGTCGCCGTCTCCTGGGAGAGACCCTCGACTTCTCTCCGGAACGTCTCTCCCGGTTCTTTTTATCTCGCTCTCGCCGACTAGCGCCACTTTGCATTCACCCCGGAACCCAAGGGCGCCGGGGATATCCATCATTCTAAACGCTAAATCTACCGGGATAAGCGGAATCGCGGCAATAAACTGCCGGGGGATCGTCGCCGAGACTCTTCGCCGGGGTCCGCGGATTCGGGGACGACGAGCGTCGGGACGTCCGGAAAGCTCCGGCGTATCTCCCTCCCGGAGCCGCTACGTGACGCCGGACTCGCTGCCAAAACGGGAGACGCGTGATCCCGTCTAGGATCCCGGAGCCGAAAAACCTCGGAATCTTAACCTCGAAAGAAACCTCCCGGTACACCCGGATACCTTTCGCGAGTCGGGACCTACATCTATTCAAGAGGGATATACATCCGTATTCGAATTATCCTCCTGTAAATTAATTTAATAATATTCCCGCGAAAGTAGGAGGGAACGGGAACGCGCCGTGGCAGTATATAACCGGCGCGGACGCGGCGGGACTCGTGCTTCGTATCTCTTCCTCGTTTCGATAAACCTCACGGCGAGCGGCGTCGTCGGCATTGTCGTTATTGTCGCTCGATGTTGTAAAAATCACGGAAAGGATATACTGAAAAGTTGGCCCCGTGGGTCTTATTAATCCTCGCGGCACCGGGGCCCGAAGAGTGGCGGGCAAAGGCTGCGCCACTCGGGCCTCCGTAGTTGGCGATCTCTCCGTCGGCGGCGCTGCCTCGCGACGGCCGAGTCCCCTTTCGAAAATAACCGCACGGCCGGTTGACGTCATGCCGTCACGAGCTGCCACGAGCCGCCACGAGGAGCGACTCACACAGTCGCGCCGGCAGCGTTAACTGACCGACCAATGCGGGGGCGCCGCTTTATCTGCGCCTCGGCTCGGCCAAGTCGGCGCGAGGACAGCGCCTCTGTTTTTTCGAGCAAACGGCGCGGTCCTCTCCGCTTCCCGAGCCCCGATTCGCAGGTTTGCTCGGAGATCGACTACGAGTCGTCGAAAGATTCCCGAAAACGCGTAACGCGTTGTAACGCCACATCGGCGACCGATCGCCGTCCTCGTCGCGGCGGCGCCGCCGTCGTCACGTGGCGCGCCGCCTTCCAGCGCGCCTGCGCGGCCGGGCCTCTCCTCGCTTACGTAAGCGCGGCTCTAAATTGGACTTCGGTTACGAGGCGGCTGCGCGGTCGAATCGAAAATCGGGTCCTTAACCTCCGGTGCTGCCCGCGCATCCTCGGATCGCCGCGTATCGGCGCGGTGACGCGCCGAATGGCGCCGAACCTCGCTCGCGGAAACTTTGCCGATGACACCGAACTCCCGCTTCTATTTATAACCTCTCCTCCCCCGCCCCGACTTTTGTTTGGTAAACACTTTCCGGCTTCCCGGCGACTTTGGCGCGCCCTCGTCCGCACCCCCTTCAGGGACGACGCGTCCGGTGGGACGCCTCGTCGCGTCGAAGCCGATCGAGCCCGCCGCGGCCCGGGAACTCCCGGTCCGACGCTCCTCCGCTTTGATTTATGGCCCGCTAAAAGGCGGGCATTTTGCGTCCCGGCTAATCCGTCGTATACGTCCCCCGGGCCCTCCTCACACCCTTCGGGCTTTCCCGATTCAACAAGTGCGCCGCCACCCGCGCGCCATTATCGGCCGTAACGGGGCTTTACGATGTCGCGGCGAATGCAAATCCACGTCCCCGTCGAAATCGACGCCGGCCGCGAGACCGAGCGTCGCCCGTTTTCGCCCGCGATCTGTGACGGGCCCTACCCAAGATATCTCCCTCGACCCTTCCTGGCTCTCCGAGATCGAGGAACGTTTCCTCCGAGACCGCTGAATTTTTCTTCGATTGTTTATAATCGACGCGTTCGTTTTCCAGGAGTTTCGGAAATCCCGTGGATAAATTTTTTTTCACCAATATGGAACGGGTGTTCAACTGTCCACGGTTGAGCTCGTCGTTATTGAGATCATTCGTGACGAGATCGAGGGATATTTTCCTTTACGTTAATGGTTATTCATGATCAACCGGTTAATTTTCTAGTACCTTGGAAAATCGTTTGGAAATGGGATTTTAAGATTGTCTTTATTTTCTACGTGGAATGGAGTTTTAACTGCCGAGGGCTCGCCTCGTTGTTTCCGAGATAATTTTTCCCGGATTGGTAGCCGCGAGGTCGGTCGACCCTGTTGGAAAAGGAGACTACGAGTGAGTCGTATTCCAAGTAGGACGCGGAACGGATATGCGTGTCGCAAGAGACCGCGTAGCGATTGGCCAATGGTCGGATCTCTTCGGGAATCTCGCCCCGTTTGGCGCTCCTTGGGGAGTGATTCCTCCTCCGGGAATCTCGCATTTCTTCAAGCTCACCTGCGAACGGACTCGGAGATTCCCCGCGACTTTTCGATCTCGCCTCTTTGTTTTAAACCCACGAGACCGTGACCGGCATAACCTAGAATTTGGGGGCGGCTCTTTTGGCACGGTTTTCCGAAATGCCCTCCTCGTCCGGCGATATTAATCGTGACTACTTGTTCGAAATTAAATCATTAAAAATTGACGTCGACGTTACGAACAAAGGATAACCTCTTGCCTTGGGGCTTAGTATGACGTTTTTCATGGCGCTTCGAAACCCAAGCGGTCGGTCATGGAAGTCGCGCCACTCCGTTCTCTCGTACACGCTTTTTCTCTCGAGGCCGCTCGGCGTTCGCGGGCCTTCTTCTGCCGCGACCAACTCCCTTTTTATTATTGTAAATCAAACGTCATGTGCAGACCACGTGGTCCGGAGGTGGCGCGCGCAGGACAGGCGGCGCCATCTCGCGGTAGAGCCGCGAACTCGCTCGCCGCCAGGAGCTCTCCCCCGCGGCCAGAGGTTCTCATTCGCGGCTACCCCAGTGTACCCAAGAAAGGAGGGCGGGCAATTTCCTTACTTCACCCCTTGCGCGATCTCGACGTACGAAGAAGCGAATTCCGCAGATATCCCTTGTGCCGTATACTCTCCCCAACCCCGAGCGACAACTGAGCTTTCAAAAAGTGCCTTTATCCGCCGTGGAAGTTCGCAGATGCGCATTTTCGGATTTGTCCTGTTCGACCAGGGGTAAAAACAGTTTTATCTGGCGGATTAGGAACACGGTCATCCTCGCGTTTATCTCCGTTTGCTCTCTGGCTCGCTCCTGCTTCTCCATTTACCGTATCTTCTTTGAGTCTCTTTTATTGAGGTGAAACTTCTCATGGCACGGTAGCAAGCTCTCGCACGTTACCAAATGGACCCGCCTTGGAAAGTGAAACTCTATATTCCTTATTTTCCTTTTTTTTTCTCTCTCCAATTCATTCCTATTTATATTCATCTTCGAGTGTTAGTATTGAGACAATTAAGTGCGTTATTCTCTCATGTAATGATTAACATTGAAGGGAAATAAGACACCAAAACACAGTTATGTCTAAGTCAACCAGTACGCTTAAGGGCACTTCGTGAAATAGTAGTTAAGAACGATATCTAACGATTTTCGTTCGATCTAACGGTCGAAGAACGATCTAACTCCACCGATTCTTCTCCTATTGGCTAGGGTTCCGTCGTGGCCGCGAGTGCGGAATTTCTATGAACCGGATGGGACCGAGATTCGCGGCCCACCATGGAAACTCGGCTCGACGGCAGAAGGCCCGCATGCCGGCTGATTGAATCCACGAGGAACCCTCCCGCTCTCTCCGTCTCTCTTGGCGAACCATTGCCGCGATGACTTCTCGTGGCGGGAAGGGGATCCTGACGTCATTCCCCGCGCCACGTTCCGTCAGCGAGCCGACCCTCTGAGTCACGCCGCGCCGCCCGGTGCCTCCCGACTGCCGAGTATATTGCTGACAAGGTCTTCGGCTGTGCTATAGATATCGGCGCGTCATGGCGCGCGACGTTGGACTTCGACGAGTCGGCGGGTTTTTCATTTTTCCTTTTCCCTTTCCTTTTCCTTCTCGCGGATCGCCACGGTCTTGGCGGACTCGCGTCCCACGAACGTTTCCCGCTGCGTCGACCAACGATACGACGAAAGATGCGCCATATCGTTTTCTAACTCGTTAAGAAATTAATTCCCCGTCGTACCTTCCATTAGGACGAAATAGTACATATAATTTCATATGGAATTCGTGACTCCGCGAGCCCAATGCCGCGTTTAATTTATAATTAAAAATTAACACGTTGGTCGCCGATATTTCGGCTACCATTCACGTTTACACACAGTGTCACCCATACCTGGGTGACGCGGCGACCAACGTGTTAAAAAGTAATACCGTGGTCGGGGTGGGAGAGTAATTAGCGCCGTTGCCCGATCTCGGGATATCACGGAAAGATTATTTTTCTTAGATCAGGTTTGATATGAAATACAGGGTACAATAATCGGTTTCTCTTTTCTTGCAGAGCTGTGCAATGATGGGTCTGCAGGCCACAGCAGGAAAACGCAAGCTAGAGGGAGGCGTGGGCTGCATGGAGTTCGACATGGACACGGGCGAGAGCCCGTCAAAGTTGGGCCGAGTGGAGGGCAGCTGGTGGGCGATGGAGGACAGCTACACGCCGCCGCTGTCGCAGGCGCCCTCTTCGTACTACGACATGGAGGTGTCGTCGGGACCGTGTCTGCAAGCAGCGCCGGCGTCCGTGACGGTGACGGCGACGGGGACGCCGACGTCCTCGCAGCTGCAGCACGCGCAGCACTACTACCACCAGCGCGTCCCGGGGATCCCGGGGCTGCAGGGCAGCGCGGGGGGCACGGGGGCCACGGGTAGCGCGCCGAGCGCGACGAGCACGGGAGGTGGCAGCGGCGCCGGGGGCGGCGGCGGCGGAGGGGCCGCCGGGTCCGCGGCGAGTGCGGGAGGCGGCGGAAGCGGTGGTAGCGGCGGTGGTGGCGGCGGCGGTGGTAGCGGCGGCGGTGGTAGCGGCGGCGGTAGTGGCAGTGGCGGCGGCAGCGGCAGCGGGGCCAGCAGTGGCGGCGGCGGAGGTGGCGGCGGGGGCTACACGCAGCTGTCGAGGCCGCAGCCCCAGTGGGGCGCGCCGCACCACTACGAGCCCCCGACGATACGCCGGGAGGAGAACGGAAAGAGCTACCTGGAGCTGGGCTCGAGCTACCGGGCGAACGAGCGGTGCTGCGAGGGCTCGAGGTCGAGCTGGTGCCGCAGGGGCCGGGCGTGCTACCGACAGAGGCGACTCGCCGTCCTGAACATCTCGATGTGCAAGCTGGCCAGGTACCGGCAGTTCCCGGACCCCAGCCTGCACCGGTCCGTCCTGATCTGCAACACCCTGAGGCACCTGGAGCGCGAGATGGAGAGGGACCGCAGCCCGCCCCCGATGGAGCCCGTCCTGGTGCCGGCGCCCATGATGCAGATGCAGGCCCCCGAGCAGGGCCGCCTCACCCCGTTCCCCCTGCCTCCGACCTCCTCGGCCGAGACCGACGTGGACTCGGGCATCGGCGACAGCGACGACAGCCGGTCCATCAACTGGGGCAGCGTCCTCTCCCTCTCCAGCCAGTCGCCCCTGGACCCGCTCAACAACAACGAGCTCCTCGACGTCGACATCGGTCCCGACCTCGACCTCGACTTCATGCCCGGCTGGAAGCTGACGCCCCTCTCGGCCGACGACATCCTCCGGAGCACGGGCGCGGGCCAGCAGCCGCACCCGCACCACCCTCAGCACCCCCACGACCAGGCCGCGCCCTCGAGTAGCGCGGCGGCCGGCGGCCACGAGTCGCTCATGTGCGTCGGATCATAGCCCCCGATCCTCACCTCGTTGAGCCACCTCATCGATTTCTATCCGCTCGGGCCGAGGCCCGCGAACGGCCAGCCCGCGGCGCCCTCCTAAGGCGCGCCCGCCCTCCCCCCTCCGGGGCCGGAGAGGCCCGCGCTTCCGCCGGATCGTCGCCGATCGTCGCGGCTCGCGGGATGAACCCGCGCGTCGGCGAGGCCCCCTCCCCCTCCGCCCCGAGGTAGCCACCAGGTCACCATCAGGTCGCCTCTCGAGGGCACCTCTGAGGTTCCAACGTCCGAGCCCCCGGGCCGGTGATCGCTCGACGCAGCCCCGCGGGCCGCTCGCGGCGCGACCCATCGCTCGCCCAGCAGCCTCCCGTTGGACCTCTCCCCGGACCTCCGCCTGGACCTTCGCCCGGACCCTGGGAGCCGCTCCGAGAAGAGGACCCCCGAGTACCGGCGATCTCTGCGCACACGCCACGCGTACCCGCGCGTTACCTTACTTAGATTACCTTACGCACGGATTCACAGTATGGTGCTAGGCTACGTCTACCCTGGTGCTTCGAAGAGTCGTCTCCGAGGATGCAACCACTCGCGGGGGGCGCGTCGACGTCCCAGGACCCTCGGGAACTCGGGGAACCCGGATTCCGAGGATCGAGACCGTCGACTTTTGGCGAAACGTTCGCAAAGGAGCTGAAACCTCCTGGAGGACGTGGCTCCGGATCCGGAAGGAGTGCGTAACGCTATGACGAATTCTCTGCGTCCGGCTCTCGACCCTCGGGCGTAGCTTCCCCGAGGAAGTCTCGGCGTTTAGGAATCCCGGGGAGCGGCCGCGGCTCGGCGAAAACGGCAGGGTCGCTCGGTGCAAAAACCGCAGGCCGGCGCCGTCAATTAGCGAAATGTACCTGTAATACCTGTAATACCCCTCCCCCCGTGAATCGGCATAATTCGGACGGGGCTCCGCCACAAAGGCCATCGCCCACGGTACTGATCTCCTGTAATATACAATTAGCTTGTACGCAAACGCAATGGGTTTTGGGCGCGCGCGTCCCGGTGCAAATCCGACGAGCCGCGGCCCCGGATAGCGAGCGGCGGGCTCCGGTTGGAAATCCCAGAGAAGGTCTGCCGAACGAATCGTTTTGAGATCCGCTAGACGCGTCCTTCCGCGTCCTCACTTTCGTCTCTTTCGTCTCTTTCGCGAGGGGGAGAGAAGGCGGAGATAAAAGGCGCATGCGCGAGCGACCGCGGGAACGAGAGAAAATCGAGACGCCGTGGCGTCCTCTTCGCCTCTCTCTCATCGGCGCGAAGACGACGAGCAATATTAATTCTTATTGTCTTAGGCGCGACCAAAAGGCTGCGCGCATACGCGAGTACGTAGGGCTACGCGTCCCATGGGGTGCGTACTTACGTGCAAGCTAGGCACGCGAATCGCGTATCACGTCGCATATGCGCGCAAGTACGATGTCGCGCCATTGCCAGGTCGCGCTTCCTTTCCATAGGCGTGGACGTTCGCGAGAATGCCGGGAGCCGATCGGCCGGTTCGGGGCGGAACAAAATCAACAAAGAATTAGGGGATACAAGTAGAACGGTGAATTTCGTCCAGAATGCCCCGCCTATGGCCGATCGGCGAGCCGAGAGATACTTAAGAGATGGCCCTGGAACCGAGACGCGAGTGGCCCTTGAATGCCTAGCAATACTCATTCGTAAGTAGCGTCGCGTGCGCGTTTCGTTCTATTTCGTCCTTTTCGTTTCTTCTCTTTCGGAGCAAAAACGCAGCCCGCGCGCTACGCGGTGAGATAAGGCGGCACAAAGACGGTCGAGTGTACAAGTAATTACGACGATTACGAGCGTATGTACTTGCGACTGGGTGCGTGCACTTACCGCGAGGGCCGCTACCGGGAGTACTCGCGAGTACTCGCGCGAGTGCGCGGGGGATATTTCGGTGACCACGGAGGACCTTGTACATAGTGTATACATAGCGACTCGAGAGTACGTTTAACGGCGAGACGATGAAGATAAATAGGTATATAATGNTATATATTGGTAAGTGATACAAGGCTGCGGCGAGGACTCGTTCGACTCACGTGCCGGGGCGATCCGGGCCCCAGGGCGCTTTTCGCCCCGCGTCACCCTCTGGTGTTTCTTTTTTTTTTCTCTAGATATTTCAACGTCTCTTACACGCTTCTATGCGATAAATCGGTACCGAGAGTGCCCCTGCTCGCGGGGAACAAATCGGGAGGAGGCGGAAGGGGCGGGAGGCTGCCGAGAAAAAATCTCTTCCACGTAGACTGCCTTGATATCGGGGAGCGCTCGCGGTCCTTCCGTTCCCGCGCGCCGGGGTAACTTCTCGAAGACGGGCCGGTGCGTCCACGTGCGATTAAGTTCCTATTAAATACGTCTAACGGAGGATTAAGTTAGCAGTTGGCTGGACATTTCCGGAAGCGAGCCGCTGAACGGCCCTAGGGTTCTTCCTCGTCCTTCTGCACGGATAAGAGTCCACGCGAAGACGGTAATCGCAGATTTCGTTTCTCCTCGTGCAGAGGACTCCTCTTCGCGATCTCAACCCTCGGGTCTGGCCGACACGGCGCTCGAACGAGTCCCCACGCTCGCCGGCAACCTAGGGCAGGAAAGACACACACACTGTATATTGTAAATAGTAGCGCGGTGGGCGAAGGTAAGAAAAGAGATTGACAGAGTTAAATGAAGAAAATTGCATCGAAATCGCGAGGCGCCTTGGACGCCCGGCTCCTCGACCTCCTCGGGCTCGACCAGAGCCCCGGGGTGTCCAGGACTTCGTCCAGGCCCCTCACAGATCTTTAATAGAAACTAGAGAGGATGTTCTAAGATCCACCGGGTATATATCACCGAAAGACCATGTCGACGACCACTCCTAGTTATTCGCGACCCGCGGCCCGGCTGCGTCGAAACGCGCGCGAGTTAGCGCTCATTGACATTCGGGGGAAAAGCGGGAAAAACGGGAAACAAGTCGAAGGGGGGAGGGGCAATCGAGGGGAATCGTCGACCGTACAATCAGAAGAATATTAATATAAATATAATATTATACTCTAGTCGTAAGCGGCCCGGGTACGCGGGAGCGCGGAGGAGTGGTCGGACGGTGTTCTAGGCCGAGTCGTGTCGCGTACCATTTTACCAAAACAACGGCGGATGTGAATATGCGAAAACCGGAGAGAAATACAATATGGACAACAACAACTATCAAAAACAATAAAGAGTATTATTCTATATATAACTACGGGTTGTGTGTTTGCTCTTCTTGCACTTATTTTCTTACGAGTCTTGATCCTCTCCTTACTTGAAATGAGTAACAAGCGTTGTTGCTGTGCCTATACGTATATTGATGTTATTACAATACATTAATGTAATATGATTGATATACGTAGGATGCACGTAGTATAGAGACATTTTAGACGGAGATCAGCACAGTATGGACAATATCCCTGTGACTCTGTTTACGAGGTACAGGAAGATCAGAAAAGTCGCTGTCACGGTAAGAATATTGAAGATTCTCAATTTTTTAAATTTACTCCTGCCCGACTCTACGGTGTTCAAAGGATCCTTCAGGATGAAGAGCCTCATTCCCAGCCAGAAGGTCTCGGCGAACTCGTCCCAGTCGAGATTGCGGATGTCGCAGAAGAATAAATCGCTGTCCACGGGATTCAGGCGATTCCAAACCTTCTTTGATTTTTGACAATTAATAACCTGCTTACTGGTTAAACCCTTGGTTAAGAAGTTCAATTGTTTTCGGAACTGGAAGTATGCCTGCAGTGCCCTGAAATGGTTAATTTGCGATTTCTCATTACGTACTTCGAATGTAGATGGTACAATATTTTTTTTCAGGACAAATTATTTAAATATTTCGGAAGAGTAATATTATATTTTCACGCAGGCATATTTTCACCCAGATCGGATGCAATTATTCGAAGAGGAATAGTTACTTTGGTCTCTTTCCTTGCAGCAGTAACGCGCCGTCGATGATCAGTGCCGGTAGCAAGTGAGTCAGCATGTCCATTAAGTAGAAATAGTACACGCATGAGGTGATCGAGCAAAAGTACGCCCACACCATTTTGTCCGACGGTTTCTCATACGCTTCTACTTCTACGAGCTCTTGCATTCTATGCAGCGTTATAGGATTTACGATGGAACTCCCATAATTATAGACCACTGCTTCTCGGGCGTCTATTCTGGAAGGAGACATTTTCAGCAACGAACATCATGGAATTGTAATCAATTTTGTTACGTATGATTGTCATCTTTTCTTTTTCCCTAAAAGTTAGCCATGCACGTTATCATAATGACTAATAGTCGCATCGCCGACATTTTGGTTTCCAATTTTGTTAGGCCCTTAGGCGAAATAACTCACTGATTGATTATTACATCCCACGTAGAAGCGAGGATAGAATTGACGGTCATATCTACCGGGATGAAGTCCTTCGGCCAGCTGTTGCAATGGATTACGTGTAATAGTCCAAGAGAAGCAGCTACGAACCCCGTTACAGGTCCATTGGAATCATCGACCCAGCCTTTGATGGGTTCCCTGTACGCTGAGATCACTGGAGAAGGAAAAAACAGATACTAATCCGTACATTTTCAATGAAAGGACATGCTGGTTTCACTCTATTAATTCCGTTTCTAAGAAACGGAAAGGATATTATTTTTCTAAGAACGTACCGAGACCAGGACGATGCACTGCGCAAGGAAATGCAACTTTACGACTGTACTCTTTCACTATATTCTCCGCCAGAGCTTTCGAAAACGTATACGTGTTAAAAGATCCTCCTATGATCTGATTAACCGTTTCTTCGGTCAGTCCTCCGGGGAGGGATTCGTCCGAAGCTATGAGATCAGGAATAATGCGTAAATCGACTGGAGGATCATAAAATCGTTCCTCTACGTCGTGATTAGAATTCGAAAACGCGGAGGAGATGTAGGTAAACGCTTTCAGAGTCTTGCACTCGATAGCAAGGTCCAATAAATGTTGAGTGCCCAATACGTTGATTTTCAAGACGTTGCTTATCCTCTCGTAGAACTTAGTAGTACTGCCATTGTGAATGATGATCGTGGTCTCCTCCGTTAATTTCTTTCGATCTTTCTCGGATAATCCTATGTCTTTCTTCGCAAGATCGCCCATAATGGGTTCGACTTTCCTCGCGAAGTCTGGCACCATCTTCCTCAGAGGCTCGAAGACCTGAGAAAGAAGCTTATCAGTGTCCTTGTAAAGCTGTTGAGCATTCGGCTCTTATACAATTACATTAATTTTATTGAGAATTTAGAGTTGGAATGGATTAAAACAATATATTTACATGGACTTACCTCATCCTGAAAGAACTTGTCCAGCCTCTGTTCTACGGAGAGTTCCTCTTTAGGCCTGATCAAAACGAAAAGTTTCTTCAATTCGGTCTCTCTGAGGAGTTTCTCCGTTAGACATTTCCCAATGAATCCGGTGCACCCGGTTAGGAAAACCGTCTGCCCTGAGAAAAGTTTCTTGATTTCGCTCCCTTCCTGAGATTTTTCACTAATTATCTCGGTGTCATCGTACATTTGTTGGTAAATGCGATCCATTGTACGTTGTTCGATTTGACAGTTTGTCTTTGATCCAAATCTCGAGTTTTGTGAAAATAATAGCTAAATTATAGTCAGTAATAATTACAGAAGTGCGACACACGCGATGCTTACGACTTCGAAACGAAAATTAAGCTGGATGACTCGGGACATAGGTCTCTTATACGGTTTAATTTTCAAGTATTTTGCATATGGACTTACGAGTAGGCCATTGTCGATTCGTAATTACAATGCTGACGCATTGTAATAGGTCAATAGTGTACCGGTGGACATGAATACTTTCCCTTTATATACTGGATCACTGTCTTATCTGCAGGAAAGGAATTTATATCCACCAGTGCATATTATTTTAAAACGTGAAAAGATAGCTACATTTTTGTACGATCAGTTAAATCGTTAAAAATTGACTGTGTAGTAAATCGCTTGGTATTAAAATATGATATACAATATTAAAATCAACATTGACATTTTGCATATATTCCTTTAGTAATTAAGTCATTCATCTTTGAAAATATACAATGTTAATATACAAATAATACATATAAACATTTAAGGTTATAAATATAACAAACTTTTAGCGAATCTAATATTAAAAACGCATAATTGTATCTATATGAATCTCACGAGTCGAATGTGCCGGAACAAGGTTCGAGAAGAATGAATTATTCAGTATTATGAACAATTTCTGGTTCCGTTGAAGATTCAATAGGTATGCAGGGTAGACTTAAGGTGTATGTTTCCAACTGCTGTGACATGTCCTCAAATTCATTCATGGTAGGACCTTTTGACGATTCTGGGAAGGATTCGTGATCGTGTTTTGCCATGTGCTTTAAAATGTCCCTTTTTGTGGAAAACTTTTCGTCGCATTGCTCGCATTGTATCGATTTCGAGTGGCGAGTTTTCGTATGCTTAAGCATGTCGTTTTTTTGTGCGAAAGTTTTATTACACGTCAAGCAAGCAAATGGCTTAATACCTGTGTGAATTCGCTCATGAACACTTAGTGCACTTTTACGAGCGAAACTTTTATTGCAGTAACTGCATGCATGAGGTCGAACTTCTGAATGGATTTTCATATGTTGACTCAAATTGCTCGAGCATCTATATCGCATATTACATATTTTACAGACATATGGACGTTCTCCAGTATGGACTCTTTCGTGTATTAGACGTGCCTCTTTAGACACGTAAGATTCCCCACAATATTGACACATGTGAGGTCTTTCATTTGAGTGAATTGATTTTTTATGGTATGCCAGAGAACTTTTGCTCGCTAACTTCTTGCCACAAATGTCACATTCTATCCTTACTTTGTCCCCTGTGTGTATCCGTTCATGGTTCAATAGAGCAGCACGCTTTGAAAACACTCGTGCACACACTTCACACTGCCACACTGTTTTGTTACTAGATTTCTTCTTAATACTCTCTATGATGTCTGTTTCGGAATGTTGTTTCCTATGCAACTTTAATTCGCTCATCGAGCTGCATCGATATTCGCAAACCTGTAAACGAAAATATTCTAAATCTTTTCAAGGTATTGTTGGGAATGAAATTTTAAAGGAAAGCTGCAGGAAGGGATGAAATTTTAAATCATGTAGTTAGTTTTATGCAATTGGAATACATACGATGTTTGAAGGTACTCACACTACAAGCATAAGTGCCTTCTCTATTGTTGTGTCTCTTGAGATGAGCATTCATATTTCCTCTACGATTAAAGGTCATTCCACAAACTGGACAGGCGTACTTGTTTAGCCCGTGGGACAGCTTATGTTGCCGTAACTGTATCCTCTTATAGAAGGCCTTCCCGCATTCCTCGCATGGGTAAGGCTTGTTTCCATCATGTTGGTTCATGTGCTCCCGCAGATGAAATCTGAATGTTTAAATTATTTTAATTAAAATAGTACAAGAAAATCACATTTTCATAATGTAGTCTGTAAGAAAATATCAATTTTCACCTTACAAGGGAGTATGAAATTTTACCTAGATCGGTAGGCATTTCCACATATATCACAAACATGTCGTTTCTTTTTTGATACATCTAAATGAGTTCTCTTGTGACCTCTTAAATTATTAGAATGCTTAAAGCTTTTACCACAAAGATCACAAAGATAAGGTTTATCCAGCCTATGAGTTGCTTCATGAACATCCAAATTCGACCACTTTTGATAAGTCTTATCGCACAAGCTACATTTGAATGGTACTTGTTCTCCATGATATTCGGATATATGTATTTGCAATTCTTTTGGCACTGAAAATATTGCTTGGCAGTAACCACATCTTCTATTTGGGACATTCAGATCACTTGTCTTTAATTTGGCTTGATCATTCATATTATTGCTGGTTTGATTCCCCACTAAAGTCTCATCAATATCTAGATCCGAGTTTAATTCATGAGGAAGTTTATTGTGTACAATTATATGTTCTTGAAAGATCTCTTCATTATCAAATGTATCTTTACAGACATCGCATGTTCTTTGATTTAAGTTAAAACTTATTGTGTCTGAAATTTCGGAAATGTCTGTACAATCAACTTGCGCACATAATATTTCATTACTTTTATGAGCCAAGTTATTCTTATTTCCACACAAATCAGAATGATTTTTAAACATTCCTTCCTTTTTATTAATAAAATATGTAATTGGATTAGTTTTATCTATACGAACATCATTATTTGTTGAAAAGGCCAGTGTTGGATTATTCTTTGTATTTTTTATCTCAGTAAAAGTTTCAAACTCATTAAGAGAATTTGCATTTGTATCATCATTTGTTTCATCATTAATTATTAAGTCTTCCATATTACTCATATCGATATTGTTGGATAATTCAGAATGTTGGGATAAAACTGCTACATGTTCTAATTCAGAGATCATTAAAGATTCCGGCTTGTTATATTCTTTTATATTACAGACTTCATCATTTTTAGAAATTAATGGCACAGATTCATTATCGACCATGTCATTCCCACATTTGTTAGAATCTACTTGCATAGAGCAATGTTCTATAAGTGACTGAAATTTGTTTGCATATTCCACCTGTGACATTAAAAAATTCTATTATTATATACTAATATGTTTAATGTGACGACATGGAAAAAAGAACAGCAATTTACTTACCGTTTCATGAATATTCAAGAGTTTTCGAATATTAATGTCGGTTCGTACACAAGCAGTGACCAATGAGTGTGTCATCTCTAATTTTGTACGACAATTTAAGCAGATTCTTAAGGGCATTATATCTTTAGAGTCAACGGTAATTGGCATATGCATTGATATTTTGTCCTGCAGTTTAAATTCAATACCCTTGGCACTAAATATTTCAATTCCATTCACAGCTACATTTCCACATAAACGACATAGATTTGATAGTTTAATTGAAATGGAATGGAACTCCGATTCAGTATTTGGATCTGTTTGATTTTTTTCACACATCATGTCTTCAGGATTGAATGTAAAGATTGTAAACCATATCTCGCTAAAATGATTCATACATTGTAAAACTGTGATTAGTGACCTTTAGTTGTCATGTTCTTTCGTTAGATTATTATAATTAAAGTCATTTACATTTACCCACTTGCTAACTGAGGCCTCACCTCTTCTTTAAGTTTTAAATATAAATTCTGATTTGACCATTACAAGCTGTAAGAAATTCCGGATTTTGGTGCATTGTCACTATGAAAAAGTTTACGTGACATCAAACAGCATTTATTTATTAGATCTTGAGATTAATAATACTTTCTCCTGTATGTTAAATAAAATGCTCATTTATGAGCGTTACAAGTTATACTCTAATAGTACGTACACGAGTGAATGGCGATTGAAACGTATGTACACCATTAACGTTTCAATATTTATAGAAAGTTACAAAAAATGACAAGCAGCCACCGCTTGAAATCAGTTCCAAACAATTTTATTCAGTGCTGCCACCGTCGCGATTCAGAGAGTAGGAGAAATCATAAAAAAGGGAATAAATTCACTGTCAGCGGAGTAGAAATTACCGTTACCGCCGCTATAGTGAAAATGGCCGAACTAAAATCTAATATTATGGATACGGCGGGTTATTTGAAAAGTTTTTCTCATTCTTGAATTTTCAGTCATTAGATGGGTTTAACCGATGAATGCAAACGTAACTAGAAATGTATTTCCATCCATCTTTGGTATTTCTATTCAGTGAGAATTAGACAGATTTCTTTATAGTAAAATAATTAAATTCATTGTCTTAAAGTCAGTTATATATACGCTCAAAAATGTATTTGGCTCGAAACTCTGCCGAATTTCTTGATATACATAATATTTCAGGAATACAACGGAGTAGAAAGCATAGAAGTGGAGTAGAGTAGAAAAATCACATTAATAGTAGTAAACTACTCCGATCGGAGCAGCAGTGGCAACCCTGATTTTACCGATTAAGGTAAAAATCTAGGGATTTCACCATTGAAGTTAACAAAATTTTTGGTCCGAATATTGGTCCCATTGATAACAAAGATGGACTTTGATTGCAGACGCGCGTAAGATAAGGATGAATGTTATCAGAGCTCAGTGCCGGGCGTTTCAGAACGTGGCTAACGTCTCTCTCCGTTCCACTTACTCACGTGCTATTGGTTGCTCTCTCTCTCTCTCTTCCTTACCGACAATGCGATCCAAGATGGCGGAGTGCGAAAAGCGTGGGCGCGCGGCCTCTTGCCACGTCGCCAAGTCGCGGCCAACTTCAGAGACACGTCACTCGCAACTTTCCCGACGTATGCGCACCGCGTCAGTCTGATCGGTATAAACCTAGATTATCAATTATTAACTATGTGTCATTGTTAGCGACTGTTAGTGAAAGAGCCGGATCAAATTCGGCCGGAGGAGCCGCGGACGCGTAGCATACGTGGCATCCTCGGCCGCCAATCAGAAGTCGTTGGATTTTGATAGGCGTGGCTTCGGAACTCGTACACTTGTCTGTACGTGCGGCCGCCATAATTCTTAGGAGATCGTCGCGTGCGAAGTGTTCGCTCGTGTTTTTCCCTGAGGAGCTAAGTACGCGGCTCTGCGGCCGTCCCATTGTACAAAACTCTGACTGACAACGCGGGTCGTCAACCAGGATCGAGGAGTGAGTGCTTTCTTTTTCCGATACTCGATGTAGGCCTTTGCGTTCCGAGTCGTTTTTGCCGGTTCTAGCTAGGGTAGTTCCTTCAGGGTTTGCTTATTATACTCCGGCTTTCTATTTATTGTACTCAATAGCTAGTCGCGATGTGCCCGTCTTGGCCTAAGTCGCTGAGCTAACATATTTGCAAATTTGGTTAAATTAATTTAATATATTTCTGTGAGAACTGGAATGGTTAATTGAACTTGCTGTAGTAAATATGTATAGAAAACCTTTTATTATGACTAACTTGAAATATTGGTTAAGAGTTAAAAGAATATAATGTATAAAAATACCAACTATGCAGTTTAAACCTCCCGTTAGAAGACATGGTAATACATAGCTTTGAAAGACGCCAGAATTACATTTTTAAGGCCGTTTGTAAAGAACTGTAAAAGTGGGAAAGTTTATAGAATAAATAATTTATAATATGTCTTTTACAGGGAGAGTAGCAAAGTACAACTATGGATATCCAAACAGGAGCGGTATATGTAGGAATCGTCCTATTATCAGCAGTAGTCATTGTACTAGTGTCGATGTTTGGAATAAAAGAAAAATCATACGAAGAAGCTATTGCGGAACAACGGAAACTACCTGATGATTTGTTACTTGGTAGGTTTTAACAGGGTTATAATTTAAATTGTAATATTCAGGACTTTGTTTTGTATTGGTGGATTTATTGTGTAATGTATTTCATAATCAGGGAAAAAAGATAAAGGAAAAGAGAAGAAGCATAAAAATAAGTCTGGGAAGAAAGTAAAAGAGAAGAAAGAAGAAAAGGAAGAGAAGGAAGACAAACCTGAACATATCCAGTTTGTTGAAACTCCACAGATTCTGCCTTCAGAACCAATAGTAATACAGGTAAGGCAATTTTTATTGTTTTAAGTTCAAGGAGAAATAATATGAAAGAATAGCACTCTTGAAATAACAGGATTCTCATTTTTGATGCATGGACATATTGATTATTCGGCATAATTTCTTTGGTATAGTTATTAATTATATGAGTTTCTATACACCGAAAGTTTATCTACATGGATTATATTTATGAATGAAATATAGGATGTCAGGCTCGATATCAGATGTCACATAACAGGTCTTATACTTCTGCGTCGTATTCAAATTGTGCCTAAGACGGTCCTCGGTGACCATTATATAGTTCAAAACTTCATAAGTCTCATTATGCAGCAATTATCTAATCATGATTTTGTGTATGAAAGCTTAAATTCTATTATTCAATATCTAAACTTATCATTACAGTTTAAGATTATCTCAGAAGTGTCATTTAGCTACAAAGTTCAGTTTGTCAAATGTAAAGAATGTTAACAAGGGTTTGAATTATCTCAACTATATCTGCATTTAAATAAAGATACTTTAAGTATCTCTAATAACTATTGAATTAGGTTATTAGAGAAATATGTAAATAACAAATGAGGAAGGCAATTTGTCTTCATTCTACATAAATGCATAATTTCAGTTGTTTCACTCTATTTTAGGAACTGTACTAACAGAGTGCTTGCTTTTTGTCACTGGTACAATACAAATTTATTTTTAGTATTTTATTTAGCATTGATATCCTAATGTTAGTTTTTATACATCAATTTATTGTCCTTTTACATTGTAATCACTTTTACCTAAGCCATGCCTTGGTAAGTCATTCTGAAAATTACTTTCTTTGGACATGTTTTATATAACCTTGAAAAATTGAAAATATTTTTCAATTTGACATAATTCTTGCAACACCTTTCAGAACCATAATGTTCATCCAGCCATTCCGCGAGTAGTTCGTACGATGTGCCACATTAACTATATCCATGTATTTATAGCATGACCTGGGATATCTTTCGTTCCTCTTTTTGTCATTCTCGATAGTCTATCTTTTACGCAAGTTACTTCTCCTGAGGTTAATTGAGGTATTTGGCAGTATTACTGTATCTGTGGCAATGTTCGTCTGTATTAATTATAGCTTTTCAGTAACCTGATAAACCGATTTCAAATAAAATGATTGCTTTCCATAAATATCTTCTGCGTCTGTATTGTACTGTTTGCAACAGACACGATTCATTGGAATGTTATCAATGGGTAAAAAGTGGATAAAAATAATCATGTACTTTGGTCTTTCAATGTAACAAATTTAAAGTGTACAGTAAATGGCTTTCTTAATCTGCAGGAGCATGTAAATTTGTAATTGTTCTGGAAGATAAAAGCATATAAAATTGAATATTAATAGATATTCAATGATGCAGTGAATTTATTACTTTCAGGTATTTATGTTCAGCAAGAAGTCAAAGTAAAACGCATACAAAGGTGAAAAGTAAATTCATTCACAATGACAATTAAATTTAAATGGTGTTCCTTTTATTTAGGTCAGAATTAGATGGTATTAAATTTCTGTTTAATTGCATTTATAAGACCATGATGACGTTTCGAGTATAACATCAAATAATATTCTGTGAAACAGATTTTTTTTATCGCATTTCTTTACAGCTATAATATTTGCATTATTCTTGAACACAAACATTTTTACATCATTGGTGCTGTAATGTGGTATCTGGTTGTAAAACAGAAAAATCATTCCATTCTGCTTTCTAAAACAGTTATGCTCGTAATCATAATTCACTTTACATATGAATCCATTTAATATCGTGCAATATCATGTCATACGTAACATTTGGGGAATATTTTTGCTTCTATTGATACTTTAGGACAGTAGCAAAGGTGGTAAGAAGAAGAGCAAGGTCGACAAGGTCAAACCGATCCTCGTAAATAAAGATGAACCAGTGGTAATTGCTCCAGATCTATGTCCTCTGGAACCTTTATCCGATGAAATCAATCACTTTGACAGAATTCAGCCGAAAGACAGCCTCGAACTCCGGATGCGCAGTGTGAGTTTACTGCTCGTTGACAGCTATAGAAGGAGTCGGCAATACTACGTTGTGGGAATGTTCTGGATAACTAATGCTTTATATCACTTCACTAATTGATTGCACACATCATAAATCCTTACATCTTTCCTTTCTCACGTATTAATAATGATTTCTAGAATACGCATAGCACTTAGAAGTAGTTCGCTTCTGACAATTTACTATGTGTAAAACTTCACGTGTGTTTTATCTATTGTTTTATTGATGTCTTCGTATTTAACCAATTTCTACAAACTATAGAATGTGCTTGTGTGCTTTGAATAGAGGGACATTGTACATCAAGTTAGCCAGTCCGAACCTGTCGTGAACAAGTCTCCAAAGGATACTCCTACAAAGTCGAAGAAGAGTGTCAAGGAAGCTGGTAAGAAGAAAGATGATAACAAGGACAACAAGGAGCCTAAGGAAGAGAAGAAAGAGGTGGTTGCTAGTGCTAGTGCTCCTCAACAGCAAATTGCGAAAGAAGTCACCAAAGAGGTGAAGGAGACCAAGGAGATCAAGGAGACCAAGGAGTCCAAGGAAGTCAAAGAACAACCGAAGGATATAAAGGATGCGAAGGAAATCCCAGCGAAAGAAGTGAAGGAACTGCATGAAAAGAAGGAAGTTGCATCCACCGTGCAGTCGACGGTGAAGGAATCGAAGAAGGCAAAGAAGAAGAACGACATCCTGGCTCAGATTGGTGAGAATCAAATTCCATTTCTCTTGGTGCGAAATGAAAACTTTCACTCAACTCATTTTGGAAAGGCTAACCGTTCATCCTTAGAGTGCACTGTTTCGGTAGGAAATAATCTAAAAATAGACGTTTATCTCCGCTTATCTGTCGGCCCGTTAGAACCATCACGTCTCTTGGGGGTTTCGCTTTACATAGAACGAAAAGTTCATCCACTGCGTACGACAATGCGTATTTATTATCCAAAATTCCCATTCATGTTGGACAATTTTTAGTTTCATTTAATCCATGAGATTATTTGCTGCATTCAAAACTTTTATTTTCGTCGGCATTTTGTAGATCATGAAAAAAACATGGGATCTGTTTTCCGCTCGATTGAACTTCGAATGCAGGCCAAGATCTTTGATTCATGTTGCAATTCAATCTTTCAGATCAATCGTTTGTCTAGCTTCATTCTGGTGGGATATATTCAGGACGGTATTGGTACAGTTATATGTTATTTTCTTCTCTATCTGGTAGTTTAAATGTTTCATTAAACATTTATTACCCACGGAAATAATTTAAAACATGATGGAAGTATTTTCTATGCAAAGTTAAACATTGCTCTGATGGTTTTTAATTGATCATGACGTTAACATGCAACTCGCAATCCTTCGATCGTTGAACGTTTTGTAAAAAAAAAAAAAAAAAAGAAGAGAGACAGAATTCAAAATTAGCATAAGCTAATAATTGCATGGAGGGGAAGCGCAAGAGTTCCGTAAGGAATTTGCTCGAGGCAAAATCAGACGGATTCCCCTGAAGAGCTTTGGAATGCGGCTGAGGTGGAGTCAGCTCTCCGCCCCCCTCCGGCCTCCCGTGCACTCAGGTCGATGTCCGAACAGTTACCATCAAGGTTTCATCCATAAGAAGCTGCTGTACACATGAAAGCGTGGCGGCTTGCAAAGTACTCGTATAACCATGTTGTTATGCTTGCACTTTAATGCGTTTATAGCACAGTTAGAGGATCACGGAATTGACTGTCTTATTACTGTTTTCGACTCCCGGAAGTAATTCCTACGGATGTCTACAGCACCGAAAATGATTTCTTACTAATTTCTTACGAATTAACCCGTAAAACACTTTCTACTAGCATAAGTGTGAATGTAAAAATAATTGTTGTCTGATTGTTTTTTTTTTTTTAAAGCGGTTTCCTATTGGAATAATTAATTAATTAGGCAGTAATTTATTTCTTAAATGTTATTTTTTGATTTTTAGGCGGGGACAAAGATGGAGTTAACGTTTCTCTCTTGATGCCCCTGGTACAGAAGGCCGAGCTGAGCCGGTCTGAGATCCAAATTCTGATCGACCAGCTGTTGAATAAACAGCTGGACAATCCTTTGGAGCATTCGGAGTGGACCGAGGGCCGTGCAGATCCCGTGATCAAATTGAAGAAACAATTGGCCGAGAAGGAGAAGGCCCTGGCCGACGAGCACGAGGTTAGCGTTGCCTTTCAGAGCAAATTGAAGGAATTACGGGCTGAGCTCAATGCCGAAAGGTCCAGACTGACGGCGAGCGTGAGACAGTTGGAGGAGGCGCTGAACGCCAAGGCCACCGAGGCCCTGACCTTACATACTCGCATGCAACACATCCTGGAGAGTCATGCCGCCGAGAAGCAAGGTTTTGCCAGGCAGATCGAGCAATTGCAGGCCAAGGTCAACGAAGACGCGGCGATCATTCACAAGATGCAGGAAGACCAGGGCCAGACTCAGGGCCATATGCAGCAGGAGCTCATCGCTCAGCGAAAACAGCTGGAAGTCCAGTTTGCTCAGATGAGGGACAACGAGAACGCCCTGAAGGCCCAGCTTGCTCAGAAGCACGTGGAAGTGCAGGAGCTGCAAAACGTGAACATGAGCGTGACCCAGGAGTTGCAGGCGACCTGTGAGAGCAGCACCGCCGAGATCGAGATGTTGAGGCAGCAGCTGGCTATGATGCAGGAACAGCTGATCCACTCGGAAGGACAGATGCAGCACTTCAAGGAGACCGGCGACAGACTACAGGATATGGCTAGGCAGCTCGAGGTGAACTTTCGTCATTACGTCCTCTGTATACGTGAGATTTTGTTAACTAATTAATTTTTTTGTCCCTAGGAGTCGCACCGCGCGAACGCTGACCTAGATCACAGGGTGAAATCTACTTTACGTCACGAGCAGGATTTGCAAAAACAATTGAATTCTGTGCAGTCTGAGCTGAATTTAGCAAAGGCTGAGGTCAGTGACTTGGCTTCTGCGAAAGTAGAGCTGAGCAAGGTTCAAGCTGAGTCCATGAAATTGAAGTCTGAGCTTTCGGCTACCCAAAACGAAGCTAAATCGGAAGCTGCGGAGTTCACGTCTTTGAAGAACTTAATCAAAGTGAAGGAGGATGAGCTCAAGCAGTGCCAGATGGAGCTCGAACAAGCGAAGGCCGAAGCCCAGAAGTCAGTAGCTGAGACGAGCAAAGTCCTGGCTGAATTCGGAGCACTTAAGGAGGTGCTCAACCAGACGAAGGTGCAACTAACGAAAGCTCACGACGATATCGCGCGATTGCAAGAGGAAAAGGATAAACTCTCTGCACAGGTTAGGAGGCGTGCAGACTATTTGTTAAAGGATTTCTTACGATTAGATTGGAGTTCCTTTTGAAACCGTAAACAAGGAGAATCGAATCGTAACGATTTCGATGTTTTGTCGGAAATAATTGATGTAGCTTTTATACGCGTGAATTACAGTATGGAAACATGTTGGAGCTCCAGAAACAAGTGAAACAGTTGCACGAAGAAAATGAATCTCTGGCTTCTCAGCTGGCGGCGACGACGGCGCGACCGGCCGCGGAAGGTCGTGAAAATGGAATCGATGAGAAAATTCAGAAGAATAATGTGGAGCTGGTGGAACAAGCCAATCTGTAAGTAAAGTACTTTTCAAAGGTTGGCTGTTTGAAGTATTGAATAGGTCGATTTTAAAACGTCAGATTGTATTTCTCTTTAGGCTAGATCAAAAGAATAAGCAGTTGGACGCCTTGAATGTCGAACTGAGGATGAAAGAGTCGGAGCTTAGTAAATTGCATGAGCAAATCGAGGTTCTTCAACGGGACGTCAGGAGTCAAACCTGGATTGCGAAAGGGCTTCAAGATAAGCTGGAAGCACAACAGACTAAGAATAATGTGAGTTTCTTTAAGTGATTAGTCGAGTTTCTGATTATTTCATGTTTCCTTTCATACTTCCCGGTGGAATCTTTCCTGGTATCATTTTTAATACCACAATAGTGACATCGTATGTCTGTGGGCGATTGTGTCATTAAAAATTACGCGTAAATTCGAGAAATCTCTTTCGTAGGTTACATTAATTGCTTCCATCACTTTACCAACTTTTCTCTTCACTGTAAAAGATAATTGCTCATTCATTAAACGATCATTTTACGTCATTTACGTAGCAATTGCAATTAAAATTGCTTTCATGTAGACTTAGGTCGATTTATTTTATCGCTTTATGGCTGATCGCAGGAGTTACGTATTAAGAACTGGAAAGTGATGGAAGCTCTTTCTGCGGCCGAAGCTCGTGCTAAATCCAATACCGGCAAAAACATTGATGTAAGTGTGTGATTTGCCATTTAGTCACTTGCCTTATTCTTTGCCAATTGGTACAGAATTTTTAGACTTAAAATTCTTCGTAAATACTTTTCTGCAACTTTAAAATTTACTATTTGATACGGACATTTAACTACGACATAAATATCATTTTCTGATAATTAAGCACCCGAAGAATAATGGGCATATTTTCTAGATCTTGTAATTCATTATTCTTCTAAAGATATTTTACTTTCCATATATATATTTTTTATGTGTCTTTTTTTTCTGTGTTGAACTTTATTGCCTGTTTTAAGGAGACAACGCAAAAAATTAAAGCAGAGGAACAAGAATCGGCGAAAGCCCTTTTGCAAAGGATATTCCCAGATATAAAGGTAACTGAAACGTCCCACAATAAGTGGGTAACCGCTTTTGAGGAGAGAGTATACGCAGCTCTCAATGAGCTAAGAAAGAAAAACGAACCTGACATAAATTTGGAAATGGAGAAACAAAATAAAAATTTACAAGGAATGGTGTCCCATTATAAACAAATTATTAACGATACGGTATGTTTATAAAGTGCCATTGTTAAATTCATGAAATGTTCTCAGCATCTTATTAAAAATTGTTGATGGTATTTTAGGAAGGGATGCTCAATGAGCTTCAGACTCATATAGAATCAGAAGAGACGAGATGGCAAGGCCAGATTCGACAAAAGGAAAACGAAATTGCAAATCTCAGGGTAGAATTAAGCGATCTTCGAAATAAGTTAGTCGAGAGTGAAAAGGTAAATGAATTAACACTACAGAGATTAAAATCCATATAAATAATACTTCATAACGCGTCATGTAGTTTCAGAAGAAAATAGTTGAATTAGAATCGAGATTAGCAGAGCAGGAGTCGCTCAAAGAAGAAGCTAAAGTTGGATTATTGGCACTCTCGTCTACTCAAAAACCTGGGCAGGTTGCTAATCAAGATCTACATGCTGTAGAACAACTTCAAGAGGTAATTACGAGATAAATGTTAGAAATTTCAGACGTGTCTGAATACGAAAGATTGGTCACTTTATTTATTCTTCTGCGGTTGTAGGAAAGAGCTCGGTTAACGGACGCCTTGCAGACGGAGAGCAATAAAAGAGCCACCTTAGATGCCGAAGTAATCAAACTGCGATCCCTCGTGGAAACGAGCGAGTCATGTTTAGCTCAAGAAAAAAATCTCGTCTCTCAGCTTCGACAAGAAGTGTCGCAACTTAAGGTGTACACCATAGCGATATAAAATTATTGTTTAGAATTAAATTATTTCGCTGAGGATCGGTTAATGCTCAATACTTTATCATCTCTTTTAGAGTGAAGTGTGCGGTGGCAGTAGCAGTTCGGGACAATCGACATTCAATGGGCCTCCCGAATCCGATTCTACTAAATCCGAGGTTGGTACACGCAACGATAGTCTTTTTCTTGCTCCAACAATAGCAAGAGATTTTGCAGCTAGCCTGTAAACATTGAAGGGCCTTATGCGGCGATCATATATGTTCAGCATAAAAGTATACAGTCAACTATTGGCGATCGCAATATCGCGGGTGTGTACAATAACTCAAAGAGCGAGAAAAGAAATCGATAAGTTGAGATATTTTATTCCTCGTGGTACCGTGATAAAATATGTCATGAACGAACTCGTGGAATGGCAATTTAGCGGGAGATCTTTAACACTCCGTGATTACCTTCGACTAATGGCGTCGTTCGCGAACGGAAGGTGCACTTTGCGAATTGCCATTCTCAGTTTCCAAATCTATAACGGTAGTCTTCTAATAATTATGTCTCGATGAAATGCAGCCAACGTTAGCAGCGCAATGTCTGATAGCTGCGTTAGAAAAAACCCTCCTCAAGAATTCAGAACTCGCAAACTGTTCTGTAGCCGAGTTCACCGATTTGATTCAATCACGCCAAGAAACCGACAACAGCTCCCTTACCTCAGAAATCTCTCCCAAAACCTGTCATACGACAGATCACAACACACAGGCTAGTTGGAATCCCTTCAATGGCCAGCAACACAAAAAGCACAAGAAAAAGAGGAAGGTAATCCTACGAGTCTTTGAGAACGCAGGAAATCTTACTACACCTCTGTTGTTCACCTTTGCCTTTGACGCCGGTAAATGGCGACCAACAGTTTGTTTTATTATTTTGGGCTTAGTATCGCCATTTGTATTGCCCCTATATTCGATCATTTATTATTTTCGATTGCGTCGAAAGGTGATTGGAAAACCATGACGATTCTGTGCCTGCGAGGAACACCCATGCTATATTTCACTCAACATAAATTAGCAGTATCCATTGGAACGCATTGGAAATTATATCCTCCGTATTTGTGGCCATCCAAAGTATGGAGAATGCATTTTCCGACTTACTTTCGCGTGATCGTACTTTTCCAAAGCCATGTACAACAGCTTTCCTTACTTTGCTGTAGCTACAACGCTCGCAGATTGTGCCTTAAAGGGCAGTATATATTTTGCGGTAAAATGGATATTTGCATTTAATCATGATTTTGTTAGCAGAGAGTAACTTATTTGCGGTAGTAGCTACCACACAACCGATCAGCATGAATCTCGTTAAATGGTATTCCCGACGAAAGTACTAAGCGTCAGAACAAATACATTTTTTACATAGCTTCACCACCTTAATCGGAGTGAAACGTCAAGATCCAGTCTTAATGTATACTGCAAAGAGATTCTGCCCGTGTGTTGTAAATAGTGAATTATGTCAGAAATGTGACGCACTTCTATCCTTCATCTTTACTCGAAGGGAATCTCACTTATCTAGAATTTCTTTGATTGCCATTTTAACATTAGACGAGAGCTGAAGATGCAGTTACACGTTCAGTTGCAACGGCATATCGATTTCGCGGTTGCTCAACCGCCGGGAAAGAGAACTTTTAATTAGGCAATTGAATCTCTAAGGCACTGACCGTTAATCTTAGGTCCCTTGTCCCAGTGTTTGTTCCATCTGATACATTCTGTTTAGTTCAAACTGGTTTGTACTCGGCATAGGCGATCGTTGCTTGATACAGCAGGGCTAGCATTTAAAGGTACCACGTCGCGCGTATCGGTCGATAAGTAATCGATTCAACCCTATAAGCCAGTAACGTTTTTGTTGTCTTTTTGGTTGTTTCGACAGTCCACTAAGAAACCTACGTCAAAGCGGCGCAGATTCGCAGGTATGCAACATTATAGAATGAGATCCTAAAATCGTTGGCTCCCACGTAGCCTAGACAGGCGGGTTAATGGTAGGCTCTTGGCAAGCAATTTGTTACTCAATTTATTCAACGCTCTCATGTCCTCTCATCTACCGGCCCGTTTTCGTCGCTCGCGTTTACGGCGATCGCGAGTTCATCTCATTCACATTGCGTTGATCATTCTCCATGCGAGTACTAATCTGGGTCTGCTTAGGATATATCAAGCCACTCTCAGTAATTCCCTAGTCATTGTTCATAACAGTAATATACATCTCACAAGTTTAACGTCGCTGGGTACCGCTCATTTCCCCCCCCCCCCCGTAGTATAAAAGTATTCTCTTAGAGACCAGCTTCCTTTATTTCCTTTTTTTACCCCTTATTAAAGTAGAGCCGCGTGGCGCTACATTGGTGTTTCGCAACGCTTCAATTTGTCGCTTTAGATGTTAATTTACATTCCGTACGGCGCATCTCGATCGCTTCTCGTCCTGATTATATTATGATTTAGCCCTGCACGGAACATGTTCTCACGGGCCTTTGATCCCGAGGAATTTGCCGACATCTCGAGAGTGGCTTCCTTGTACTTGCTTTTGGTGTAATTATTATACTGTTCGGCTCGTTTGCGCGGTATGAGGATAGTGTCAACGGTGTACAATTGTAGAGAGAGAAAGAGAGACAGAGAGAGAAGGAGGGAAGGAAAAGAAACGAAACTGTAATATAGGTAAAATAGTTGACTAGGTAGTTAGAAAAAGTAGCCAGCTCGAGAGCAGCCTTGGAGACACCATCGGAAATAAATCGACATGCTTGTTTGCGGACGCAGCCGTTGGATTTCTCGATTCCTTTTGGATCCCTTAATTTTGTATATTATAAAGATAAAGGGTGTGAATATCGCAATTAGTTCGGAGGAGCGGCTTAATAGCGGTGCGAGTGCCGAAGCGCGGAAATGTGACGAGCAATCCTCTGTACATAGTTCCCCAATTGTTGTACATAGTCACAGAATGGAAAGAATTTCGTGGGTACAAACACTGGGGTAAAGGATGCATTTCTTTTTCCTTCACAGCGAGCCAGTAATCCTGTCGATTAATATGATACATGTATATTACATTAATTCATGGAGCTTGTACCGATGCGTCCGGCGATCATCGACTTCTTACTTCACATTTTATTTCAGATCTCGCGGGACTCTTCGTTTTAGTTTAAGAGATTACCATTCGGTTCACAAAGTGAAACTTTTTCACGCGTATATGCGCCAGTTATTTTCTTTTTATGTGCCGGAGAACCGAAAATATGTGTCACGGAATGATCATTGACAGCGAGATCTGCCAATGAAAATATTATGGTTTATAAGTCCTCGTTCTGCGCACATCTTTTCGGATCTCTGATTTTTCGATATTGTTCGCTTGTACAACGTTTTTTGAAACTGCTTCATTAGACCTCTCCTTGACAACACCGGAATGCATTGTTAGACAGTGGTCAGTGTATATAATAATTTGTATTGTTTGGGACGAGCTAGTGTAATGTTGCAGGGCTCCTCCCACGCTCGCAATTTCGCTGTTCCAGGCCCAGGCAGTACGAGTTAATTTTCAACAGTAGACTTATTATGTGTGCTTGCCCATTTTGCTCGCCGCCTGCAATTATTTCTAGTTGTCCTTATTGTCGTAACGGCCAGAGGTTTTGTACTGTACAGCGAGTTGTTGTCTTTTTGTTCGTTAGCACTTGGTGATGGCATTTCTTTTTTTTTTTCTCTTTGTCTACGTTGGCAAGCCGTTTTTATGAATTTTGAGGAGAAGGAGAAGATGATGTAGTTGTCGCGAAGGTGTACCGAACCTGCATGAAAGGACGTACATACCCCCGATTTTTACTGAAGTAATAACGAAGTTGCATAATTCTTAGAAAGAAAAAAAAAATGGCCGAATGTACAACGTGTTTCTTTGTCGTTCTGTACTTCTGTTCTCGATAACGTCGTCGTTTTTGCTGAAACACATTGCATATTCGACCACGTCGTAGTGAATGTACATTAAGTAACGATGCACCGCACCCTTGCGCAAATGTGCATTTTAGCACGAGTGCGCGAGGCCCTTTGTTGTCTTTCATCGGATACGGAATTTAAGCCAGACTGATAAAAATAGATGGAAACATAATATTTGTATAAATTTGTATGCACCTCATAATCGAAATTTCACATGGAAAAACGTAAACTGGTAACATTGTACGTTTACCGTATTAGTACATTTTCACTTGAATACATTATAATTTTCTTTTAACTTAACCAAAGTGCCGAATGTGATGTTACGGAGACAATGTAATTCTAACCGGAATTTATTGTGGCATCGAAGTGACCAATGACCGAGTATGTAAATTTGCATGGGGATTTTTATCAGGGTAGATAAATAAAAATTCATAATGGTTTCGAATGGACTCGAATGGGTTTATATCCGTATCTGCTGAAACGTGTAGGAAACGCACAATTAATTGTTAAGAGGAGCTTTCAATGTCGTATTAATTGAAATGGCACCGGAACCACGGCCAGTCCGACGGCGTAATGGATATTCAATTACCGTTAAACTGTTCTTACAGGGTGGTTCAGGAAAAAAGTAATTTCCAAGAACAAGCTGCGCTAACGGAGAGCCCACTGGAGGGGGAGGAAATCGAGTAACGGTGTTAATGAGCACGAACGATGTACCAATGCCACCGACATAACGTGGTACGGGAGAAAAGTCTGCCGCCGAGAAGACTAATATAATAATTAAACTATGGATAATGTTTATTATATGAAGAATATCATATTTTATTATGTGGATAAAGTATAAACACGTAGGTAGTAAACACAGGATACTGAAAACGGTGTGTGTGCGTGTGTGTGTGTGTATGCGTGACGATTATATTAAATGGATTTGTATGGGGTTTACTTGAACTCGCGGGGTAAGGGGCCGTTAAGCGCCGTAAAACGAGATTTCTAATTGTTCCGTCGAGGACGAGGACGAGGACGAGTGACAGCCGGTGCAGCTTCACAGCACATTCGATCGGCTGTCTAATTTAATTTTCCTACTCGCGGAGCTGTGACGTTATAGATTGTATAGAATTGTAAACACGCGCCGGCTGTATGGATGATGCCGGCGAGGACGAAAGAATGATGGCAATGGATTGACAGCGCGTTTTCTAACGGCGAGAATTCGTTTGTACAGTAGGCGAGGAAATTCTCGAGTCGGGGAGGGAAGAAGAAAGTCACTCGTGCAATAAGGGAACAAGTACGCATCGTCTTGTACACTGGGAGACATCGATGCCCTCCCATCCTGCACAGGCGATGCCGTATCTGCAGGGGAGGCATTCATGTCCGCCATTGTACACTGAGAGACATCGATGCCCTCTCATCCTGCACAGGCGATGCCGTATCTGCAGGGGAGGCATTCATGTCCGCCATTGTACCGGGGAAAAAGAGAAGTTTAGGGTATTTTAGTATATTTAGTGAGAGCCTATGTTTAAGTTCCAAACCAAAATTGTGTTTACTAGGGACGAACGTAGGAAGGAACGGATTGCTGTGCGCGACACCGTGACAGAAGTAGCTACGCACTTTGAACACTTCCTGGGGGGTCAGAGGCTGAACCCTGGGAGGATTTTTTAATCGCATAATCCAGGCGCAAATTTTTAATCCTCAGAGGATCCACCCACTAGGGGAAGTTTACGGGTTCTCGCGAGTATTTCCGCGTGAAGAGGACGACTTCGTGCAGACTAAGGTAGACATTTAAACGATATTACGAGAACGCTGGGCCGTGGGTTTAAGTAAGAGAGCAAGATCGCAAAGACGATTACACTGCGAAACGACACGCTTTTCTAAAAGAAATTACCTAGTTTTATTTAAGAGCATTTACATACATATATCTATATATCTATACATATACATATATATATATATATATATCTCTCTTTTCGTTTTGTTTTCTTATATTCCCCCTAGGGTTTGAGTTTGCGTTGTCTCTCATCGAGCAATTCCTGACCTAACCCGTTGACAGTTACTATTAATCAACGTCATTTTTGCGAATGTCTACTCGATCGTTCTATCGACCGTTTTAAGAGTGAGTTTTTAGGTGATTTCACGCATTGACGGGAGTTTGCCAATCGTTAATAGTCGAGGGGCAATCTAATCGAACTTAAAGCACGTTAGACCGACACACAAGTTCATCCCGTATCGTACTTATTTTACATTAAACGTGTATTTAGTGGATTTAAGGGAATCGTGAATATTTATTGCTTCATCGCGGCTGGAACACTATGATCAATTGATCGCTCACTCGAGATAAGCGAATCGCTTGGTTTCCTTTTTTTTTCCCTTCAGCTTTTACGTGCGACCACGTACGAGCGTGTGCGTTAGTCTTGCTGTTATTTTTACCGGATAATGCATGCACCGAACTTCTGTTTTATCGAGTTACGTACTAATCGAGACGGAGAAACGCCGAGTAATCATATATATATATGTACCTAACTTCTCTTTACGTTATCACGACGGAAGTCACTGTTATGTTATAAAATGATTTATTGTTTATATTTCCGATGAAGTTTTACAAATGAAATACTCCTGATTAAAGTATGGATATATTATGGATAATATTGGCCGGCTCTGAAGCTCCCGAGCGTCGTAACAGTTGTAATATAACGTAAGGATTACACGGAAGTAATAAATATGTGTAAAACGCAAGTTTTTCATCATTTCGTAGATTCCGGAGAATTTAATTCCTAGTTAGGGTTTGCTACCGATGAATGTTTTTGTATGTCGGAATTGGAATCAGAACCTCGCGGGGGGAATGGACGTTAAATGAATGTTACTCTCACATTTATTGCCATTTTATATACATTTATGTATTTTTCATCCACATCGGGATTGTAAAAAAAGAGACACGTGCATATTTTATATACGAGCATTTCATGGTGGACGTTGCCCGCTACGATCAACGAATGCCAGGCTGTATAAAAATGGTATATTTCTTATTGACAGGAAGGAACGAGTATATACAATCCTTGTCCAAGGAATTTGTACAGGTATGCACAGAACTCTTGGCATTCAATTCAACAGAGTCTGCAGGAAACCGAGAATGTAACTACCTAAGTCTTCGTCTTGATTGGTCCACGAGACGTAGACACTTTTTTGGTCGTCTTCGTCCCCTTCCACTTTGACCAGGACAGACTCCACTGAAATGGAACCGTCTGTCAGTTGAACCGTCCAACCTGATAATCTCTCTTTCAATGGCTGCAAGAGCTTTAAAGTCGTGGCATGTGCAGGCCCTGGATCTCTTACTTGTACCGTACACGTGAATCTCACTACATGCTTCGAGATCCCTGCAGCTTTTGCTACCTACATTTAAGAGTTCCAATGTTAACGCCTTACAACTTTGCTATGTAATAATATATTGTAGAATTAGATCGTTCGTATAATTACCTCATCAGAATCTACGAGACACATGCCATCATCATTTAGCATCAGTATACTGTGCAACAGTCTCCTTCTTTTTGGATCTGGAGGCAAGGCAGCGTACCTTTTCGCTTCGGCTTTTAAAAGCGCCAGAGAAGCATCAACCGGAACCTTAGAAGTAGTGGTAATGGTACACGTTTCTCCGTTTGCCGGATTGTAGCAACTCGTGCCGAACTCTTGCTTAATCTTCTCTTTCAAATATTCCATCTTAGCAAATTCACCGTGCACTAGCATGACGTTCTTTGGCTCGCAGGATTCGATAAGCTGCATGATACCCTTCGCGTCGGCATGAGCCGAGAATGACATGTACTCGACCGCCATTTTAACTTCTACTATTTGCCGATTTTCAAATTCTATTCGTTTCATACCGTTTAAGACTTTATGGCCGACAGTGCCTTGTACGCAAAATCCCGGCATTATTACCATGTTGGACTCGTTCGGCGCCCACTTTTTGAAGATTTGTAAAGACAATCCAGCGTGCAACATTCCTGGAGTAGCGAAGACCACCATAGCCCCAGGATTATCGATGTACGCTTTGTCAAATGGCTTTATGTGTTTGAAATCGAACATATTTCTCTGTACGAAGGTTTTCTTAATTTTTTGATTGGTCCAGGTGATGAACATTTTGTAGTAATTATTTGCTTTTTCCGTTAAGCCAAGGGCGAAATATACCGGGACTTTAAGGTTCATCCTTTCCCAATACGTTTCCAGAAGTATACAGAGCTCTTGGGCTCGTCCAAGGGCAAATACTGGGATTAGCACTTTACCTCCCCGATCTATGCACTCGTGAACCTACGTATACAATTTACAAGATGTTAGAGCACTTGTTCGCAGTATAAAGCGAAAATTGAAAGGAAAATAATTCGGAGCATCTACCTTCTTCAGAAAATCTCTCTCTCTACATCTTTTTGAGTCTCTGATCGTAGTGGCATATGTGGATTCAGAAATCAAAAGATCAGGCTTACATTTGTCTATCCATGCAGCACCCAAATGACGGTCCGGAGTCATATTATAATCACCAGTATATACAATGGATTGTGACCCCACTCGAACCCAAAACATGGCAGCACCTAATACATGTCCTGCATAGTAAGCTTTGATTTCTAGCTCCGAATCGACCATAACCGATTGATGAAGAGTAACTGCGATAACTTTTTTCATACAATCTTTGATCATTTGTGATGTGAAAAAATTGCTTTCACCCTTGCGTTCCACTGCCACCTTTCTCATATCCTCTAAAAGTATAGGTGCGATAGCTTTTGTAGGATGGGTCATGTATATCGGACCCGTATAACCCACCTGATGAATGAGATATTTCAATAAAATTATGTAAATTAAGTAGTACCAAACAAATATATACTATCAGTCATGAATATATCCAAATTCACAGGTTGCTTACCATTTCGGTAAAGTATGGAAGCGCTCCGCAATGGTCTAAATGAAAGTGCGATATAATGACACAGTCAATATAATTCGTGGTTGGTCCTTCTGGGACTACGTAAGAAAAATCTGGGAACCGTCGCTCGTCGTTAAACCCCATGTGCATTCCACAATCGAGCATTATATTTTTTCCTCCCATTGTTACCAGGATACAACTACGCCCAACATCCTGGCCAGCTCCCAATGGAGTTACTTTTATATCAGGCATTGTGTATTAGGTCGATAAACTATTTTGGACAAGTAAAACGTAGTTTATTAATACAGACATAACCCTTGGTCGTGGAGAAACGAAGGAAGCAACAATCGTACTCACTAGTACATAAATTGTAATTAACATTTACAATTTATAATAAAAACCGGTAAACCGTACCTTTCGTTACGATTAAGATGACTAGATGCTATGTAAAATGCTTCAGATATTTAAATTATTAACAAGCGCTGCCATTTGTGCTCCGTTTCCACACGTACGAAAACTTGACTAGTCTCTAGAATGAATATAGGCAAATTACACGGTAAATGTACTGTACGATAACCTTCAAGCCGACTGGTAATCATTTAACCTGCAAATTGTTTGCAATTCGCACGGTACAAAATATGGTTAGCAGGTCGTTTCAGACTGTCAGTTGGAAAATCGACCTAACTTTAGCGGGAAAAGGAGCTTACAATTTAATGCTCTATCGGTAAAGGAAATTCAACTAAAATCGCAGAAATAACGATACAACAAATACAGCAACTAAAATAATACGTGTACGTATGATTTTCCTATCAATAGAATACTTAAAAATGAAATTTCCAATAGATTCAAACCACTTTACCGACGCGTTCATGATAGTACGTTTCCAGTCTACTGCAAGATGGCGCGAATATCCCTACCGCGAAATTTTCAAAATGGTGAATAGCACGAGTTTAACAAATCGACGACATCATGTAAACTCGATATTTATACATTAAATATTCCGAATTTCTGAATCGAAGAATGAATCGGAAATTGTACATTTTGTTCCACATAAAACAGAACAATTGAATCGCTAAGAAACTTGCTAACTTTTAATAAAACAAGTTTTAGTAAATTCTTTAAGAAATTCTGTAAATAAACATTTAACAAAAACTACGTTAAGGGGGTCAGGATACTCCAGTATAATATTTAAATCATTTTCATTAATTGTTTTTCTTTATAAATATTCATTTTCTTTAGGAAATCCATTCTGTCCCTTGGGCGACTCTAATCAGAGATGGGTTGGGAGATTGCTCACGGGCAGGATCGTGCGATCGCATCCTGTGCTGCCCTCTGGTTTCGTACGTTAGCTTTCACCGTTTTTTGCCCCCAAGGGCGGCACAACGAATTTCTGATAGGAGCTCGCGCACTCGCGATGGCGGTACCATCTACCAGTGACCGTTGGCGGCTCACGTACTCGAGATGGTAATACCATGCGGCAGTTGACCGTGGTGACTTACCTACGCTTACCGACACTGCTCGCTTTTGATGGTAAGGGAAGATCACATGTGACGCTCCTTTTGACTTTATCTACTTATCCACTACTATTAAGTACATTGTTGCCTTGAAGTCGACGTGATGCGGAGCTTTGGGGCACGCGTCGGTGTCGCGTACGGACTCTCATGCAGCGAATCTGTGTGAGTGCGATCGATCCTAGAAACCTTCGCGCGTCCCAACCAGCCAAGCGTCAAACACGGGTCGAGACGTGGAGTATGTGTGCGTTCGGCGCTACACTCGACGAGTATGCGTGAGAGTCGAATACTGCGAAAAATCCTCCCGAGGCTTACTTAACTGGGGATGTAAGCCGAGTCATTTCGCGTATGATTTTTACATTTCCCTACTAGCGTTATCGAGCATTTTCAAGCGTTTCTATAGCGTTTTTGAACGTTTTCGACCGTTTTCGAGCGTTTCTCGGTCATTTTCAGAGCGTTTTCGAGCGTCATCGAGCGTTTTTCGAGTGTTTTCACACGTGTTTAGAACTTTTTCGAGCAATGTCGAGCGTTCTTCGAGCGTTTTCGAGCGTTTTTCAAGCGTTTTCGAGCGTTATCGATCGTTTTTCGAGCATTGTCGAGCGTCATCGATCGTATTCGCGCGTTTTTCAAGTGTTTTCGAGCCTAATCGAAGGCCGTACAGTGCCGCTAAGTGTTGTTAAGTGCAGTAGAGTGCCGGAGAGTGCCGGAGAGTGCTCGAGAGTGCCGGAGAGTGCCGGAGAGTGCCGGAGAGTGCCGGAGAGTTGCCGCAGGGTGCCGGAGAGTGCCGGAGAGTGCCGGAGAGTGCCGGAGAGTTGCCGCAGGGTGCCGGAGAGTGCCGGAGAGTGCCGGAGAGACCCGGAGAGTTGCCGGAGAGTACCGG